TGTAGGGAGATTGCCTAACTGTAAATTTGTGCGAATCGGTCCTCGGTGCATCGCCCTGCGACCCCGATTAATCTTACAAATCGCTTCCACTCGCCTCTCCAAACGAAATGAGAGGTACTCAAACATCAATCTATTAAGGGATTCTTTAAAACCCAGCTTTTCTACATTATTTATTTTTGCCTTTGCTTCAGCTATTCAATCCGGCCTTTCTTGTTCTAATTCGCCAAAGTTGCAAACTAGTAATGGTTCATCCACTTTATTTTCAGTTAAGAATGAAGACGTTTCCCGGCCCAAGCTTGATCAGCCTTTGGGTAAAAGTTTTGCTCCTTTCTCTGACATCCGACTAGCCACTCCACGCAGCTCTATGCCTCCAGTGACGAATCGTTCATCCAGACAGCTGGGTCATCAAGCCTTCCAACGACCTTCCACTGACAATAGATGTCTATCTCAACGAGGTTTAGGGGGCAGCGGATGGAAAATGATTTGTATTGATTGTCGGCATGAGCAGCCAAAGGAACCACTGAAACGAACCTGGACTACTTCAGCCTATTCTTCGCCATCCTCCTCTCCACTCGCCTCAGCGTCAGTTTCTCTGTCAAACGAAGCAGTAAAAAGCTCCATCTCTACTCCTACAGATATAAACCCCTCTATCAACCTTCAAAAAGATTCAGCTGAAGAAGCTAAACATGATAGCCTCCATTCTCACAACTTGAGTCATTTACACATCGTTAACAGAACTCTGGAAACTGTTGCCTCGCCAACCGGAATACCAGCCTCTTCAGTACCCCTAGCTGCTTCCTCTTCTCCCTCATCAGATTCACTGCCCTCTTCGCCTAGAGCTTGTGGCAGTGCGGCACCGCTTGGGCTCATCGAGCTCCATCTTCCGGTGAGACAGCTTCTTCGCCACAATTGCCCACATTGCAGTAAGTCTTTTCCAAGATCGGCCAACCTGAACAGGCATCTGCGCACGCACACAGGAGAGCAACCATACCGATGCGCATATTGTGACAGGGGATTTAGTATTAGCT